GTGCGCACGTATGTAGAAATAGACTTCCATGGCTTGGTGGGGCTGGACGACACACTTCCTCCTGTCTGTCCCCTCCACCCCTCCTGACTGAGTCACGACCTCTGAGCTCTCATCAAAAAGGAGGCCAAGAGGTTAAACTCCGCAAAGCCAGCAGGTCAACAACCTCTTTATCCGGCTTTGAACCCCCCCCCCCCCGTTCTTACGTACCATTTCCATTTTATGCTACTTTGTATTTCACTACAATTCTGAAAGAAATATTGTAATTTTTACTCCACTGCATTTATTTGGCTTCTGTAGTTACTTCAGATTAACACTTCATCTAAAAATCATATAATAATCTTATGAATGGTTGATGCATTGTTTTTTAAGCTTGTTGTTTCAAACCGTTTTGGTTTATGACCTCTCACAAAGCACTGTTTATTTGGAGCAATTGTCAGATTTCAAATGTCCAAGAGTTCTTAGCAGTTTCACAAAATACACATTTCCCTTCTAAACTTCTCACATGACTTCATTTAAATAGCTGATTGAGGTACAACAAGGACAATTATCTAATATTTCACAAAAAAAGCAAAGCTTAGAGAAAAGTCCAACAAGCACATGAAGCACTAAACCCCATGAATCATCTCACGACCCAGCAACTCCACCAGTCACAGGGGACATATTCCAGCTAAATCTGTATGTTTACTTTTGATGCTCTTAGTACATTTTGCTGTTAATACTGACTTTTTCTTGTAGTGGAGTATTTCTACATTATGGTATTGTTACTTTAACTTAAGTAAGGGAGTCTACACCACTGACTGTCCAAGCAAGAATTAATGGTTTTAGATCAATAGGGTGTGTCTCTGTAAAAGTTAACCAGCATGATGTCGCAGATGTCTTTATGAGAAATCCCAGTGGCCTGCCAGGACACACAACAACAATCGGAGGGATCAAAGGTCAAGCAACTTGTGGATTTAAAAGGCCATCGAATAGGGTCACATAGAGCAAAACGCACCCACACACACACACACACACACACACACACACACACACACAAATTCAAAAGGTCAATTTGTATGTATATAGAGAGGTGGTGAAGTAAAGAGGAAGTGAACATTGTCCGTCTGCCCAGAGGTCAGAGCTCTTCATGTCAAACTTAATTTCGGACATTTAGCAGACTGAGGATCGTTATTTAATCAGTGTTTTGAAATGTTTGTCTTTCAACCTTGATAAAAGCATAATGTTCAGTACATTAAACGGATAAATACCAGGAACAGGAGTATGCTGTCTGCCTGGTGTGTTTTTCATTTTGGAGTATTCACAGATAATTGCTTCTCTTTGTGTCAGTCAGCACCTTCACCAGACAAGTTCACTTCTTAAAACTGTGTGTTTGTGTTTACTTCATATTGTAAGCAATGCTTCACATAAGGGCGACATCACATTGAAGTTTTGGTAGCAATACCAACAACATTTTAATACCTTTGAGCAATATTCACATGTCTGTTTTAAAAAAACAAACTGAAACCCCCCTTTTTCATTTGACGAAGGGAGTAAATGATAAATCCTGTTCAAACATAAACGTCTTTACATTAACTTTTTCTAAATACAGTGCAGCCTAAAATTGGCAAAGTTATCGTTTACATCATACGTATCATTAAAAGAATAAGAAAACGAAACATTTCTTTAGTCTTTTCTTACACAGCATGTAGGATAAATGTGTTCAGATGTCTTGGAAACCACAAATTTGTAAAGATTTAGAAGTGAAGAAGCACCGTCCTGACTTCTGTTTAGCAGTGAATGGTTTCTCATCATGTGATCTCGGCCAAAAATCAAACAAAAATGTATTATCAAAAGGTTATTACTCTTAAATACCGTATCTAAATGAGATTATAAGTAAAGAAAAGTGCAAATCTGAGGAAACATTTAATGAAAACTAGACAGATATACAGCGCTACAGTTATGCGTATTTCGGTTCATATCAAACAAGTGAGGTGCCGTCCCAATTCCCACATACTCGATAAAATTACTGTAACAGATTAATTCTTCACATATGCCTTCAATGTCTAATAAACTTTTGCTTAGTGCTGAAACAATAAATTGTTTATTTGGTACAGATGGTCGATAGAAAACCCCCCCTGATCATTAATTCGGGGGGGGGGGTTATGGCAAAAAATACCAAACATTCCCTTAGGTTTCAGTTTCTCACTTTGTGAGACTTTTCTTTTTCTTTTGGACTGCTGCTCAAAACTCAGAATTTGAAGATTGTAACTTAAGCTTTAGGAATCTGTGACAGACATTTTAAATAAATAATCTATTAATTGAGAAAATAATAATCTGATTGACAATGAAAGTAGTTACTTGCAGCCCTAGTTTTGTTTAATTGTCAGTCCTGTGAATATGAATTTGCTGCATTCAAATAAAGTTTCAAATAAAATTTGACCTTCATGCTTCAGATTCAGAGACTTGAAGAACGAGGGCATGAGGTGATGAATCTGAAGTAACCACTCGGATCAGTTTCATCTCCGGTGAGTCTTCTGTGGCTTTCACCACAGGATTCTTTCAGGGACATTTTGTATTCATCACCTCATCATGCAGACGAGGATTTGCCGTTGAACTTGAACCCAGTTCCCTCACACCGCCTGATTTCACGGTGGCAGCCTCGAGCCCTCCCGCGCCTCCCCTGTACTCCCCCCCCCCCCCCCCCCCCTCAGCACCGTGCTTGTCTTTGTTAAGCTGTCTGTCTTCCTTGACTTTCCGCATCCCCCGTCTGGCCCTCTGCAACCTCTCTTCCATCTCTGCCCCCCTCCCTTGCAGCCATTCTTCACTTCTGGGTTGGGGGGCTCCAGGAGACGGCCCACTGGGACTCGCAATACAGAATGCTAATCAGGCCCTCGGCGGCACTTCCCACGATTTTCCTCCCAGACATGAGCTTTTGTTTTGCTATTGATTCCATTATAATCAGACGGTTCCCGTAACTTTCCTGCTGTCTGGAGGCCGGTCTGCAGCGCTGAGTGCAGCAGAGGGCCTACCTGTCATATGGCCCTTCTCACATTCAGTCAGGATTTATGTTTATGGTAAAACAAAACAAATTACCATGTTTACAAGATCTGCAGTGTTACTTATATTTACAGAATTGTACCCTCTTTTAATACACTGCCACCCTATAGGGAAATTAGAAATGTTAATATGTTGTTTATCTAGTTGTGAATAGACTAAATCTATCTGTATATAGCCTCCTGTAACTGACAACTTGCTGTATAATTTGCATAGTTGATACTAGTACTGTGTCCGCCAGTTCTCTATTAATCAGATTTTGTGCAATTATTTAACCAACCAAAAATGTTGAAGTTAAGAGTGTTTAGAAACATAAGACTGCTACTAAAAGGCATATCTGAGTTTGAAAGCAAAACAAAAATGGGTTTTACAAATAAATTAAACTGTATGTGCTCACCCTAAGTCATCAGACTGTGATATGCAAAGTGGAAACAAGCTTGTAGTGGCCCTATTACTCATAGATGACCTCTTCTTCTTTGTCCTTTTTGGGCTCCACTTGACAAAAATCAATTTCCGCTACCTCAGTCACTCCTGTCTTTGTCATTTCTGTCTATATAGTGAGTGAGTGAAGGAGAGTTGTGCGACGCACTCACTTTGCTTGCCATAAATGCTTCATGTTCTGTGTGTTATGCGTGAAAAGTGAGTGAAGGAGAGTTGTGCGACGCACTCACTTTGCTTGCCATAAATGCTTCATGTTCTGTGTGTTATGCGTGAAACAAAAGCTCAAAATAAACCTTTTTCCACGACACCTTTAGCCCCGGAGTGTTTGTGAGCTGAACGATGAGCTTGTCCCTCCAGATGTTTCCAGATGCTTCATGCAGCACGGCAGCAGCTGGATCCACTGGCCTGCGCCTCCTTAAGAGCAGCTGTGCCACGCCGTCCTACTCAACGCATCATCCAGATGTGAGTGTCCAGCGCGTGTAAACATTGATCAGTGATTGTGTTTAGTGTTCATATGAGCATGTTGTTCTCTGTTCACTGCTGGAGCGTTTCTACCTCCGGAAGTTTTTAACGAGGGTTTTGTGTAATAACAAGTTGCTCATTTACATACCTGTACAATCATAGTACATAAAAGGGAGTAGTTTATAACCACGTCTTGATCTTGAATTCATAAACGGGCAATAAAACCCAATGAAGTCGACTCAAATTCCGACACTTTTCTAAATAGTTTAATGGAAATGGATCCACTCAACCTGAATAGTATCTAAAACCTTTTATTCTCTGTCTTTAAATTCATAGCAAGAGGCTTTCTCACACTTAGCTCATGCATTGATCGTTACATATATCAAGATGATGTATTTTAACATTTCCCTGTCCTTTACTTCCCTGCAATGTAAAGGTAAATCATCTTTTACAAGTCTGATTACTAGCATCATCACTAAATACATTCTCCATCACAGACAACGCTGGTTGGATTTGAACAAAATTTGGGGAAATGATGCATCACTGTTATCTTGTATTTTCACATTACAATGATTTTTCCCACACTTCACTCTAATTGTGGGTTAAAAATGAGCGTAAGTCCAACGTGTAAGTGAATAAGAGTGACTGTAAAGTCCCAGGCTGCAGTCTCAGAGTGCTGTGAAGAGCTTTGTAGGAAGGTGAGAGAGGCGTTTGTCGTTATGAGCATCACTGACGTGCCTCGAGCTTCTATGTGGCTGACGGTAACAGTAAAGAACTGTACTCGATGACGCCCATGAGAGGAAGTGTGTACCCGACCTCGTTCATAAATAAGTAATAAAAAACGGCTTCTTTTTGTTATTTATGTAACATCAGTATACAGTATGTGGATGATGTACTGTAGAAGAAACTAGATGCCGTTTTTAAATTAATCTGATGGTCCAACAAATTTGTGAAATGATAATTGTGTCATGGTTGATTCTACATCTTTTACATTCTCATCAAAGATACTTTGTAGTACCTTTTTAATACACAAACGTAAGATATACACATATTATTGTCTCATTGTAAACATGAATACTTTTATTGATTGACACAAACTGCAGGTGAAACCGTTGCATAGTACAGACATGGAGCTCATTAACAGCAGCTCGTGTGCAAATCCTTCTTAGAAGACTCCTAAAACAGTCATTCATAGTGCATTATAATATAATCAGTTATTCCCTCTAAATAGTATCCCATTCAAAATCCCATTCATTCACATATTCATATTACATTAAAAGAGGAACTGATTTAACAAATGAAATGTGGAATAAATCCACTTTTCCTGACAATTACCAACTAAGTCAACAGAAAAAGGCTGTATTCACTGTTTCTCATCAAACCTCCAAAAACACACACTTCAACACACATTGCACCTGTGCTCATATAGTGCATATTAGTATAACATCTCAATTCACTCACACAAACTTAACCCGTATATTTCCCTGCTAATGTGCAAACTTAACAATACAATTATTGTGCAAATACTTATACAAATAGTGCAAACTTAAAAACATCCCACTCATTTCTTTTGCATAGAGAAAAAAATCAAACATATTGTAGTGTTGATTGCACAAAACGCTCCCTGCAGGGATAATGACACAATTGATTAAATGTGTATACTAAAAATGAAAATAAAAATACTTGCTGTAACAAAGCTTTGGAAAGACCTCCATAAGAGTTGATTTTACCACCAAATTGTTTAGCATGTTAAGGTTATACACCCCTAAGATATAAATATACAAAACACTCTAATATGAGAGAATGAAATGTGAAAAACAAATGTTTCTAAAAAATAGTAAAATCATCTAAACGATTGTTATACAATTCATAGTTGATGGATCAAGTCCATAAAACATTTTTGTCATTGCAAAAGAAAAATAATTTCACATGTTTCAAGTAATCCAGTCACGCAGATTGTCAATAATTAGAATAAAACATCAAAAGTTTTAAATGAGACAAATAGACACATTTAATTGCTTACTGAAATAATTACAAACAAATATAAGTCAAAAGATAACGAAGAAAATTAAATGTAAAATCTATGATTTAAGATCTAAGATAAGATTCTTATCTGAAGGATAACACATTGAGGAACGAATCAATGATACCAAACATTCAGAACACTACAGCAACTATTTTTATCATCATCTAACCTTTTTAAAATTAGTTTGAATCTCAGATGACTGAGTTTGTGTGTGTGTGTGTGTTCGAAAGAGAATGATCTAAGCTCTGACCTACATTAAAATGTAGTACAGATGTTTCCTGAACAGCTGTGCAGAGCAGCTCCCAAGAACTCACTCTACAACACACACACACACACACACAGATCACTTTTGCCGTCCTTTACTCTCTGTTTCAGCCTCATGATGGCCAAATGTTTGTCTGTCTTCTGGTTTGTTTCTGTCTTCATTCAAATAAAGATATGCTGCAGTAGCAGCTGAAAAGAGTCACGTTTGCAGCCATTACCAGTTTTAAGACCTGACAGTTTTGACTCTGTCCACTGTCCAGTCGTTGGAGACGGCTGCTCTCACAGAATCGGTGTGTTTCCTCCTGTATATTCACAGTTAGTCCTGGGTGAGACGAACATCACTGCAATCAGAGTCCAGAAGAGCAAAGAGGCAAAGATCTGACGATTAGCTTCAGACTGATCAGAAACCTTAAACGAAGAGACAGAGGAGTCGTTAAAGACAGTCCTTCAATGAGGTACAAGACAAATCGCAACCACATTTATCTACAGTGATCTACACTTTGCATCGAGAAAGACCAAAAATGTGCAGCGATTCATTAATGTCCTGATAAGATGTAAAGTTTCCGCAGTATGTGGAGCAGCAGAATAAACACGTGTATGCATTTTTCATCCTGTATTTTATTCATGTTGTGTTGGTGAACCAGTTGGCTCATCGTCCCTACTATTCCCCAGTTGCTCTGATTCTACAGTGTTCAACTTTACTGCATTTACAGTACAGGACTGAAGATGACAATAAAAGATATTGATCCCAGGAGGCAATCTTGGTTCAATAAGGCAAAAACATTCTGCATCTGCACATGTAATTAGTAATCTACCACACATGTCCTGCATGATGCACATATCTATATATTTCTTGAACAATCAACCTTTTTGGACAAAGCCAAATCATTTTGTCTATAATTCTTGTTCATATTTTGAAGCTCTTAAAAATGTCAAATATGTGGAAAGATGGCAGATGGATTTTGAGTTACGGATCATGTGCACACACTCTGAGCCAAGCCACGCATAATTTAACACAAAGCTTGGTGTTGCTGTTTACTATCGCTCTCTGAGTGGCCTTTACTATAAGCTCCCATGCACTGCCCATAGATGGCACACTAATAACAGAGGGAACAAACTCAACACACAATCAACTCAGACAGATGAGATAAAATATGTCCCCGACCCCCAAAAACACTAAACTCCAAAACAGACCGTGTCTGTGTTTGCCAGTCTAGACACAAGCTGCTCTTCCAATCCCGGACACCGGACCTCCTCTCCTCCTTCTCTTCCTCCTCTCCTTCTCCCTCACCCCCCCCCCCCCC